CTCACACACACACACACACACACACACACACACACACACACACACACACACACACACACACACACACACACAGTTGGAGATAATAGAGATCCGAGTGGTGGCTAGCTTTCATTATGCTGAGAATAAAGAGTGATGTTGGATAGAGTCTGAAGTCTCTTTAGGTTATGAGTGTTTTTTGAAGACTTAAAAGCCACATTGAAGTAGAAAGTAGATGAGCTCCAGATTGGTGTCTGAATATCGGGATAAGAGCGTCTGTAAGTGACACATGTAGGATAATTGGCAGCACTGGTTCAGATGCAGAACAGCAGGAGAGACGACAGGAGTTTCTCTTGTGTTCAATTCATGCAACGTTATTTTATTTCTACGACTAAATAAGAACCGTTGGCAATGAGCAGTCAGCCAGAGCCTGAGTAGTGTGTATTGATCTACAGAATAATAGTATTCTACGTTTCGTTTAGTGTTTTTAATGCAAATATGATGTGTTTCTACATTTTTGTATTTTAAATCAAATGCATGTGAAAACTGGAAAACATCAGCTTGGACTTTAAGGAACTGGCAAAGACAGGTTTTGAGTCATTTCTGATATTTTACATGTCCATTTATTCTAAACATCACCAACTAAGCCAAGGTAGAAATGTAAAGAAGATGTTGATATTTTGTCAACATGCAACCAAAGAGAGTGTGTATAGTTCACGTATTGACCAATCACTGGTTCATATCAAAGCACTGGTATCTGATCGTCTTTAACGAACTCTGTCTGACCTCTAGAGATGAAAAAACTCAAAGTCTCTCATCAGAAGAAATAACAGAAGCAACCGTCTGCTAGCATAGATGGGAGTAACACATGCGTCACTTCCTGACGAATTACCTCCCCGACCACTTCTGGGGGGAAAACATGTTGGAGTCATTTGATCGGCGGTACATTTTCGGCTATCGCTTAAAGAAAATTAAGAAAACCATGCTTTTTAATCTACAAGAAACCAAGTTATGATTGTCAGAAACAAAACTATTAACACATGTCACTAGAGAACAATGATCTGAGTAGATTTATAGTTGATTTGAAATCAATAGGGAACACATACGACACTTCCTGGAGAGAAATTATAGCCCCGCCCACTTTAGGGGGGAAATGATGCATTAGAGCGAAGCGGGAAATAATAGTGTCTTCATGTCTTAAAGCTGCTGAGTCAGATATTGAACCTCAAACAACAAATACATCCAGATTTATGGTTTCTTTACTCCCTACAGAAAAAAGGACGGTAAAATAAACTCAGTTTCAGTGTCAGCCTGCTTCCGTCCTCCAGCAGACCCGACATCCATCCCATATTTATTTTAACTAAACTATAAATCTACGCAGATCATCGATCTCCAATGACATAGTCAATAGTCTGCCTGTCTGACCATCATCATTGGGCTTCTTGTAGATTAAAAAAAAGCGTGGTTTTCTTAATTATTCGATGTCATTGCCATTCAACTTCAGAATCTGTATTTACCACCAATCAAAGGACAGCCAATGTTTTCCCCCCAAAAGTGGGCGGGGCCGTGATTTCACCCGGAAGTGACGCATGTGTTACTCCCATCTATAGCAGACCTCTGCAATGTCCCAATTGACCAATCAGCATCGGGTATTCAACTAAAAATGGTATTAAAGCCAGTGCTTATTATTACAAATATAGTGGTTCCTCTTTTTGTGGACATATGTCTGTGACCCAGTCAGAAGTCAAAACTGGATTCAACAAATCAGCTCTTCTTATTCTCACCATGTGACCCTTAAAGGGGGCTCTGGATTTCACCGTGGGATTAACTTTCCCCCCCGACTCTACACAGAGAGAGAGATCATCCTGTTGTTGATAGGAGTATTTAGTGATGCATTATACGACCTGCAGATCGACCGCAGCGCTTCTTTATAAGTGCTGAGTATTAAAAGCTGCCCAAAATGTAAGATATGAATGTGTCTCTGCAGCAGAGTGGGCAGGCTGCCTCCTAATGTGGCAGACGTCTCAGAAAGTAGTCCCTCTGCACCATGTTTTATTCAAAAGCTCAGTGATACACAGCGCCCATCAATCTGCACGACTTCACAGCTGATATTCATGCTGTCACTTTAACTGAGGGATCACCAGGAGGAACACGTCCGGGGATCAAAACACTAACGAGGATATTAAATAAACAGTTCTTGAGAAGCAGTGGTGGAAAAAGTATTCAGATCCTTTACTTAGAATAAAAATGCTTACTGTAAAAATACCCAATTTCAAGTAAAAGTACTGCAACTACAAGAGCCGCTTTCACACCAAGTGCTTTGCCGCACTTAGTGCCAGCACTTAGTGCCAGCACTTAGTGCCAGCACTTAGTACCCAGCTCTTAGTTCCCCTATGTAACTAAGAGCTGATCGCGTTCACACCAGAATAAGTTCCCTGAGGGAAGATTACGCAAATGAAGCCGCTGACGTCACTTCCTCTTCTTCTGCTTTGGGTTTACTGGCAGGCCGCAAACCACTTCACGGCGTATACTGCCACCCGAAGTCCCCGGCCGGAAGTCCCCGGAGTTGAGGAAGGCTTCAGTAGAAGCTGCTGGGACTCCCAGCAGCTTCTACTGAAGCCTTCCGAGTAAATCTCCAGGACGCCGACACCTCCTCATCTCCACCGCTCCCATGTTTTCTTTTGTGTTGCCATAAATGAGTCTCTCTGCGTTGGTGCGCTGGGCTAATGCTAATGCTAATGCTAATAATGCTAATGCCAGCAGATACAATGGCGGCTTCACAAAACTTTTCAGAGTTTTACGGACCGTGGTTTGCAATTCGCCCAGCCAATAGAAATTGGTTCTGCCCAGGAGATGTGGTGCGTTGGTGTGAACGCAAAACTCCAGGCACTAACGGAACCAAACGGGAAAAGTACTCCGGTGTGAACGCGCCTATTGGTATTCCAGCCTTATGTCGTCCCAGTTTGACTATTTATAAAGCATATAGTATAAATAATCATCCAAATCTGTACAACACCTTTTAGGGGCAGATTTATTCCTACTTATTACCACGAATTTGACTCTTCGTTTTAAAATGTTTGGTAAAAAGACGTAATTTACACAAAATGAAGCCGAATTTCTAAGTTAAAAAAGGATAAACTGATGATTTTACTAAATTGACCCCAGATGCTATACATTTCAATAAAACCCAAAAGCATAATGTTTTTTTTTCTCATGGAAAACATTGTATACAAGCAAACGTGTTATTTTTCTGGCACAAACATAAAAGAAACCTTAATATGGATATAAAAACATTTGGGAACGAGTCAAATTTGTCCCAAGGACAACAGGAAGTACAATAAGAAAAATGTACTTGAAGTATTAGGGGTCAAAGTTATTATTGCAGAAAAAACTCAAAATATATTTAGCTATTTTAAAGCAGAAGCACCAAATCTTCACATTTTAGAAACTTCTGAGCAAAATTGAGGCCAATTAATGTTCTGTTACCCATCCATGCTTTTAGTTTCTACACCAAATAATCATATTTTAAAAGTGTTGTGTAAGTTTTGTGTGAGAAGATTTGAATGAATAAAGTAAATACATCTGTAAAATAAATGTAGTGTAGTAAAAAAGTACAAAATCTGCTTCTAAAAGATAGACGTTGAAATGAAAATACTCAGATGTGTACTTGAGTAAATAAGTGTTTCAATGCTAGCAGCTACCTCCATTGGATAAGCAAGAATTCAGAAAGAGACTTTTCTTTAAAGCTAAATAACTTTGAAATATCCCAAATATTGAGTTTGGAGAAAAGACACAGCTCAGTTTTAAACTCCACTGTAATCACCGCACGTGTTCCTAAGCATATTTATTAGAACCCAACCTGAGTCAGCTCTGCGTCCATTAGAAGGACTCTGAGGAAAGGAGGTGAGTCTCTCTGTGTTTCTCCTGACGGAACATGTTGATCCTGAGCTGCGTTACAGAAAGAGAGAAAGAGGTTCTGATTAAAAACTAAATAAAGAACAGAGAGGAACATTTCCTCAGTGCAGCTGCAGCTCATCGTGAGAGGAATTAAGAGGAGAGGAATGACGTCAAAGCATTTCATATCTACACACACACACACACACAGACAGACACACAGACACACACACACACACACACACACACACACACACACACACACACACACTGACTGACTGACTGACTGACTGACTGACTGACTGACTGACTGACTGACTGACTGAGTTAAGCATGTGTGTATCATGATTTTGCCAAAACATGCTAATCCTGATGTCTGCCTGCGTGCTAAGTGTGCTATTTGTCAACTCCATTTCTAAAATGGTTCACTGAGCTTTCTGAAGCCTTCAGCAACTGTTCTGACATCTTCACTTGATCACAATATTACCTTAGTGTGCACACGTTCTATAAAGGCAACTTTAGGACAGGCTTTTAGTTTCTGTAAAATCTGTCAACTTTACAGGCTAAATGAATTAGTTCTACTGTTTGTGCTGATATAACATCAAATACATTCCACATCTTATTTCTTTTTTTTGGAGCTAAACGTTATTTTTATATTGCTTTAGTGTAGGTTTGATTATATTAAATAAAGTTTTAGAAACGCAAACACATCTCTGAAAAACAACATTCCCAATCTCCTGCGACCGGACCGTACATAGAAACTATAGGCCACTCAATGTGAGGATAAAAAGAAAGTAGTGTTATTATGACTGACTCTTAACGATAGAGCGATTGAAACACACTTTAATATAGCATTGCAGGAGTTACACAATAAATTAACCTATTGCATGATAGATACAGCTATAGACAGGGGTGCACATCACTTTCTCAGTGAGGTACTCAGATGAGTACCTGGAGTCAGTGTTTGGTACTCCAACTTCTGGCTCCACTCAAAGTTATTTGATGAAGCCCTCTGTATCGCGAACGTCAACGGGGGTTGCTAGTGGAGTACTTCAGGAAAGTCAACGGGGGGAGGGCTAGTGGAGTACTTCGTGACCACAGAGCTTGAACGTTGTGATCAGCTGTTTTAGCGCAGTTCTCCAGTGAAGGGGGGGAGTCACCGCAGCCGGTTGGCGTAGTTTTGGCACAATTTTGGCACAATTCCTTTGTACAGGCCGATGTTAACAGCAGCCCTGTCTGTGCACACGGAGACCGACTCTGTTGTCCGGTGATCTAACCGCCTTCTGAAAAAGCTTCACAAGTACGTCGGTACGCAAATGCGCTTTGTGACACAAGTGACGGTATGCATTTCAGATTGTTGCAGCGCATGCGTACCTGCGTGCCAGTTATGTGCACCCCTGGCTATAGAATAGAATGCAAAGCGCACAATAAATACGCCACACTACTACAGCTAAAATTGGAACATAGCATTAACTACTAAAGTACGTTTTGTTTTGTTTTATCTTTATCTTTAAAGTTAGATTGTATGGACATGGGTTGATTTTAAATACTGCCCTATATTTCTCAGGATTACACATTAAACCGTTGATAACTTTTTAGCACAAACATGTATTTCATGCTATGATGGATTATCAACATTATTAAAGGTTCAGTAAAGTTGATTTATTAACCTGTTAAGCCCGAGAGACCCCGGTACCGGGGGCCTCCCGCAACATCTTGCAGGAGACAGTGTCTGAGGGCATGTTCATATAATAAACTATGAATGTTTTATATCCATGTAACGGGAAGAAACTCATCGAACTGATCAATTTGATTGATTTTTTCCAAAAAAAAACACAATGCTAACGCTGAGCCTCTGAATTAGCAACGAGCAAAAAAATTCTAACAGATTTACTGTACCCGAAACTCACTCATAAAACCTTATTATTTATCCATTCTGCACATCCAACCCATCGATCTGATTGTGAGATGACACAGAATCCATCCATCCATCCATCCATCTTCTCCCGCTTATCCGTGGTCGGGTCGCGGAGG